CCTATTCGCCTTGAATTACTCAACTGAGTAATTCAAGGTGAGTAAATTGTATAAATGGACTTTACAAATATATTGTACAACCTACTCATCCCTAATTACTCAGCTGAGTGGAACTCTAAGGATTCTAATATAAATAAACTTTGCAAATATGTTGAACAACTTACTCACCTTCAATTACTCAGCCAAGGTGGACCTATCTACATATAAAAAAAATACGACAGTTGAATTACTCAGCCGAGTGGAACTATCTTCATATAAAAAAATATGACAGCTTGCAAATATGTAGTACAACTTACTCGTCTCGAATTATTCAACGGAGAAGATCTCTCTTCATATAGCAAATATGTTGTGCAACATACCTAGAATTACTCAGCCGAGTGTAACTGTCACACCCCAAGAATTTACAGTACCGTTATTCCTGAGATGTGACGGAAAAAACATATATACATCTATTGATAGGATAAATTTAAACTGACGAATTCTTACAAAGTAACAAAAAAAAAGCTTAGACACAACTACAATATCTTCCAAAGTTGCCCTTGACGAGTACTCAAAATGAAGCCGCAGTTATCCTGAAAAATTTTACCATAGTTTGATGAGTTTGGCTACTCAGTAAGTGATCATCATAATCCTAAAAATAATCATGGTTGAAAGATATCAATATTTTCCAAAAAGAGATATATTAACAGAAATGCATCAACAATTTCACTTTCAATAAATGCATAATTAAGTATAAACTGAATAATTGAAATGCATATAACACTTTAACGGTAGTGCATAATTCAAAAGATTTTACAAAATACCCTACTGGCGTCCCAAGTAGGTCACCTATATACCCCATCAGCGTCCTGATGGGTCCACTTAATCCCTATCGGTGTCCCAGATAGGTCCACTTAATCCCTGCAGGTCCACTTATACTTCACTGGCGTACCGAATGAGTCCACTTAATCCCTACCGGCGTCCCGGATAGGTCCACTTATACCTTACCGGCGAACCGGATGAGTCCACTTGCATACTTAAATTATTTCTAAATCTCTTTAAACATTCGAAAGCAGCAATATCATGTACTCAACATATCACTGAAACCATTAATATGAATTTCACTTAAACCATTAATAACAATCACTCTATATAACATTTCAAAAATAACCAAACAAATATCTTGGGCTCAAATTTAGAAAGGTGGCAGTTTGTAAAGGCATTCTAGCATAATTGCCAATTTAATATGTATAGAAAAACTCTTATAAAAATTCAAGAATACAGAATTATCACAATTTATGGGATGTTAATTTGCAAATAAACATTTCACAACAATACTATAATCAATTGCAAAAATGTCAATTTTTAAATAATACGGCAGTTATTTGCACACGAATTTTACAATGTCTAAATATTCAAAACAGTAGAAAGAAATATCACAATTTTACTAAAAGCAGAAATATCACTTTTATTTCTAACAATAAACAAGAAAAATAAATAAATTTATTTTTCTAATTTACAGCATTCAAAATTTCTAACATAGATAAAATATCACAATTTTTATTAAAAAGATTATTTTTCATGATAATGAGGTCACATGCGCATAAAATTTATCGGG